AAAAAAGCACAGGTTTCACATTAAAGAGGAAAGTTTCATTCTTTATTTTTAGTTTAAGAACACTGTTAATACATATATACAGGCCTATGAATGAAACAAATATAATAATTTTGTAATTTCTGGCCTATTTTGAGCTTGAATGTGCAAGGGTTCCCGAGGCCTGAAAAATATTTCAAGGGTTCCTCCAGAGTCAAAAGGTTGGGAAAGGCTGTCCTAATAGCTTCAAGATACTGGCTCAAGACGTCTACAGAATCTGCAATGTAGCCTAGAGGGATAGGATACAACTGAATACCATCAACGTACTGATAATACTTCTACCCAAACTAATTGATGACTTCTCCCAACAGATTCATATCATTATTAAAGAACATGCAGGAGGAGACTGTGCCCTGTGATATACCATCTGGGAGCAATCAACAGGCTTTATTGCTGTTCCCCATGACTCTCATCTGGAACTTCCTACTTAGATAGGAGTGAAACCATTGCAAAACTATGGCCTGTTCTCTCAGGCATCATAGGCAGTCCAGAAGGATACCATAGTAAATGGGAAGACTGGAGACGGTGTAAGTTGTCCAAGATAGCTGAAAATGGTCTCTTCAGGGAAGGGCATACTACTGCTTCCCTCAGAGAGGGTGGCATCTCACCCTCTATCAAAGAGGCATTGATCACGCTCAAATCCAGCCAAAGAAGTCAGGTTGGATATGGATACAGGTGGTAGACCTCATACTACAGAGAACCCTACCCACTTTATCAGGTTCCACAAGCTCAAAAGAATTCTACCTCATATACAAGATACAGCCCTACTTACTTTCCCTGATTTTGCTCAGCTGGTATCTAACTCTATTTAATATGAGTGACTTCATCTGCAAAGAAAACTTCACAGTAGCCGGGAACTACTTGTCCACCCCATCGTTCCTCAAAAGACCACTTGGTAAAATCTGGAGCTAATGACATTTGTGCATTAATTATGGAATTACTACATTTCCTATAGAAGACTTTCATTATTGTGAGAAATGTACTTACTAGTGAATTCTTGCTTTCAATGGAGAATCAGAATTTTCTGAGATTATATGTAGGTGAGATATTGATGAGATTATCCCTGTATCTATGTTCTAGTAGTTGATTGGTTGATTTAGGAATTACTATTTCATTTCACCCATTTAACTGATAATCAGGTCTTACCCTGCTTAGCTTTTTGAGTTCAGTCATAGTACTGTCACCCTAGGCTGTAGGATAAGCTGTAAAGTTGAAAAAATATCCTGGAAGAAAATAATGGAAAACTACTTCCATATTTTTTTATAAGAACACTACCTGGACATAACCATGAACTCACCAGAAGCCCTTGTTTTCTTTGCATTTTAAATAGGACATCCTGTTAATTCTCAGTGGGGAGCCATTAAACATTACATAGACATGATAGAGAAGTTTTGCCTCTCCCTGCTTTTCATTCTTGAAAATTCTTATCTGGCTGCAGGTTATCCTTTAGATACTTTGCATACGTATCTCTGAAGCAGCTGTTAAATTGGAGGTCAAGAGGAGTCAGTTGTTCTTTTAGGTAAAAGTAATTAACTTGTATGGGTTTTTTTTTTTTTACTTTTTGCTTTATTTATTTAATAAAATGAAAAGAGAAAAATAATAAAAGAGAAAAAACAATCCACTAACAAGATAAATTGTATATGTTAGGGCTTCTCATGCATATATAGGTGTGTGTGTATGATTTTTTTTGCATAGAAGTTTCAATAAATGATGGCCATATTTCATTGTGATCATCAAAGCATGATGTTCATCTATAACCTAAATGCAAGTAACATCAGGTCTTCAATCCACTGGGTAATTGGGGGCATAAACTTGTCTTTCCATTATTGAAAAACTAATTCTTTAACAATAATAAAGACACAGAGAATTCATTTCTGTTGTCCAGCTGTCAATTTTCATGTAGCAGGTATGTAGTTGAACATAAAGTGTGCCTCTGAAAATATTAAACTCTTTCTTAAAGCCAAATTAATATTATATATGTAATTACTTCTTCCCAGAACATAATAATGTAAGGATACTGCAAAAATATGTGTCTTAATGAAGCATTATTCTGGATGCATTTCCAACAACATGATGATTTATTAATTTCTTTTCTGAACAAATGCAGTTGTGTCCAGTAAGTCCAAAATATTTTTGTTATATAAACCTAAATCTACAATCTAATGAAGTTTTTGGTATTAAAGTTAAAACATTTTCCTGTTGTTTAGACTCCAATTCCTTATTCCATTAAGTCTTTAAAATTTGCATATGAAATTGATTTATTGATAATGATGTTGATAAAGGCTGACTGTGAGTTTTTGGTCTCATAGGATTTAATGATCACTATGTGGGAATGACCTTGGAAGACAGGAGGAAGAACCACAGACTAGGCAACAGTGTGATAAACGAAACCTGAGTCTGAAGGAGGGGTGGGGGTGGAGAAAGCATCTCAGAAGGGACCCTCCCTAGTTTTGGGGAAAGTAAAAGTAGGGGAAGGGAGAGTTACTTTCAGACTTGCAAGATTTGGTTAGTGTAACCTTACAAATAAAGGTAGTGTTAGTACTCATGGTTGGTGCTTCTTGTCTGGACTACCTCAAATTGCTGACAAACACCTTGTGTGTCTTTAAACTGAAATTGCTGCTAATCCAAATTGAGATGACAATAAAGGTTGTAACTGTAAATATTGCCAGTGGGTGGCAACTGACAAATGTTATTTATATTTTAACATTAAAAACTCATTGTTATCCTCTGCTCCTTGTTCTACTGTAAAGACCCCAGTATCCATCTAGATCTTCCATAAAATGATTTTTAATCAGTTTTGAGATCTGGAGTGTCCCATAGGTCAAATTAGCTTAGAAAAAGGATCAAAACACATTTTTTTCAGAAATAATATGCCATAGTCTTCAAATCAATATTATGCTAGGAGACATAGTAAATTTATTATATTTAACCCAGAAGAGTCCAATTAACTAGTTATTTTATACAAATATTCCAAAAGGCATCAAGAAGGAGAATTTGCACTAAGTGAACACGTCCAAAATTTGGTACTAGCCAAAAGGTATGCATAATTCAAGATTTGAAACACCAAAAGCCCCATCTTTAACTAAGAATAACATTTTTTTTTCAAATATATCCTTGGAATTGAAAAACTCAGTTCAAATGTACAAAATAGTACATTGAATTTTTAAAATATTTTCCAGATATGTATATATAAATTTCATGCAAAATATAAAATACCATGGGAATTATATTCATTTTATCATTGTTATCCAACCCCAAAGGATAAAGGTTAATGACTCTTATCTGTTGATGCCAGAGAAATGACTTACATACCTTAATCACATTCAGTATAATTATTTGAAAAATATAGTTTGGAATAAGGATACCTAAATAATTGATATATTCAATACATATACAAAAATGATGACCACTTAACATATGAATAAACAAGTCTTTACTCTTTTAAACTACCAGCATCCATTGTTCTTTATTTTTAATTGAAATATTAAATTTGGTAGCATATACAGTACAATTCACAAAACATGGATTTCCATCATTGCTTTTTTATATTTATGTAGTGTGTGTGTGTGTGTGTGTGTGTGTGTATGTTTTAACCCAATTTATGGATTTGGGGAGTTGAACACCACATTAGAGTAGCCCATAAGCCCTGTAAATAAATATACTGTCATTATACTATAATAATAATAAGAATACTTTATTAAACTTGCATGCTGCCCAACTCTCAACAAATCTGGGCAGCTCACAACAATCAAACAAAGAAATTACTGTACAATAATATAAATTTAAAAAATAAAGATAAGCAATGGCAAGCATGATGAAGTGAGGGAATATGTTGTTAGAAGTAAAGAAACTGATGTTGTTGAGTGGTCTAGGTCCAAGATGATTTTAGAAGAAAAATATAAATGTTCTAGATAAATTGCACAAAGGCCTAAGTAATATTGCTGTTGGTTGGTTATTCGAGACAAATTAATGTACAAAGCCCTGAATTAAGAAAAATGAAGACATTATAGCAAGTGAAAAGTAGAACAGTGATGTCTTGAAAGTTCTTGCATATGACACATGATGCAAATATGGCTTGTATGTCGTGCATGATCTACCTAGGGGGAAGGATGTTTAATCTTTGGATGGAGGATCAGAGCAGAAGAAAAGGTTAATGAGCAGAAATATAATTAGTTCTTAACATACAGTCTAAAAACACTAGATTCTGTCATAAATTAATTGCTGTTGAGCTATTTAGAGATGTTGGCAGTACATTTTCCTCTGCATTATCATTTTGGTTATTGTTATTATCCTATCAATATTATTATTAGCTGTTTTGTGTGTTACAAAGCTCAACTCTCAGCAGCCAGCCTTTAGCATTGGATATCATAAAATCAGAGTTGGAAGTAATCAAAATATGTTTGTATCAGAATCATCTCCTCATAAGCTTTCTGTATGTGCTGTTTTCTCTAAGAAGAAGCAATACAATTTTTTGAAAAAGCAGCAGAATTATTTACTAAAAGATAGTATTTACAGTGCTCAAAAGGTCTCTCACTGTTATTAGTATCAACCAGTTCTCATTAACATAACAATATATATATACACATCTTAAAAGAGACAATATACTATTTCCAGGTTTTTAGATCAGATCATAGTGTGCTTAGAGTTCAGGTATGGAACTCAGCTACTGATTTCTCAAGGTGTCAGTCATTCTCACCAGCACAACCCACAGAAAAGTGCAAAAGATACCAACTTTCCTGAAGTTCATAAAATATCAAAAGTGGGCTTTTGATCTAATGTGCATATTAAGTCATTACTACCATGTGTGGGGGGGAGGGGGGAGGGGTTGTTTTTATGCACCAGCTTTTATATGAACCTAAATAGGCTTCTTGGCTTGTGTGAGTAAGCGTATATATTGTTCAAATAAATAAATACATAAATTTGAAATAGTTATGGGTAATATTCTCTTTTCTCTGTTGTCACAGGATATATGTGAAGATATCTCTGATCATGTTGAACAAATCCATGCTCTTCTAGAGACCGAATTTTCCCTGAAACTTCTGTCTTACTCTGTCAATGTAATTGTTGATATCCACACGGTACAGTTTCTTTGGCACCAACTTCGAGTTTCTGTCCTGGTTCTGAGAGAGAGAATTCTTCAGGGACTGCAAGATGCCAATGGAAATTACACCAGGCAAACTGATATTTTGCAAGCTTTTACAGAAGAAACAAAGGAGGTATGGCATGTAAATATAAGAAATTCCTTTTTGAATTCTAAATCCTAGTTGTGTTTGCCTACTGAAGCCCGTATTAAAGCAAGTGAATCAATTTGCAGCAGAATCTGCTGGGTTTAGGCTGGTTAAGGTAGCCCCAGTGTCAGTCCCTTTTAGGTAAAGCAAAGAATTAATACTGTAGTCCTTCCTTCAGAGTGACGGAACTAGCTGAAATAAATGTATTTTTTCTGAGGTTGCTGTGTCAGAGATAACTGTAGAGCTAAAAGCAAAATGCCATTGTAACCTTAGGCTGTAAAATAGCTAAGTGCATTGCTTATTCTCTGCGATTAACACAGAGGTAGATACATCAATCATAATGATTCCCTTAATGGAAGCATACAGGTTCACATTAACAATACTGTTAAGGGAATGTATTAACTCAGAAGTAATATTTCCCCATGATTACACAAATATGCACACATTCATTATAGGCAAGATTTTCTTGAAACTTGAACAACCTGTGTCATAAATCTCATTTAAACTATAATTTATTCAAAAGTAGAATATCTTTCACACTACATTCTTGCATTCCAATCCTATAGATTTACTTTATTTTGGAGTATTTAGATTCTGCCATATTCTACTGCTGCCTGTTCAGCTCCATAAACATTTTTACTGAAAAGCAAACTTTGAGCCATTCCTAGGGACAGTCGAAAGATCATAACATCAACATAGACAGCTGAAATCACATTGTCACATAAGAATTCCACAAGTGTGGTCCTTTAATTAAAATACTTTTATCCTTTCAGTCAGCCTACACACAGCAGCTTCTGCACACCCAGGGCACAGTGCTCATTTGAAGATCCCCGCCACACACACACACACATTCCTTTTCTTTCTAGGACATCCTATGTCAGTATAATTTTTTTCTCCCCATGTTTTAATCTATTAAAGTTAATGGCCATACCAGGAGCATGGGGAGAAACAGAAGAATTCTGGTGAGCACATGAAAAGGGGTATCTTGAAAAAGTGCAGATGAGGGCAACCAAAATAATCAGGGGACTGAAAAAATAAAATGGGAAAAGGCTCTAATGTTCAGGAATCTTTAACTTGCAAAAAAATCAACCGAGGGGAACATGGATTGAGGTGTATAAAATAAGAAAGGAGAAAGTGGACAGGGAAAAGTTTTTCTCCCTCTCTGGAAGCTCTAGGGCTGAGATAGTCAGTGATGCTGATTGGATAAGATTTAAAGCAGACAAAGGAGGCACATCTTCACACAGAACATAATCAACTTGCAGAATTAATTAATCAACTTGCAGAATTATCGCCACATAAAGTGGTGATAGCTGCTAATCTGGATCATATTTAAATGGACATTGCCTCTACCCCTCTCCATCAAAGCCCTATGATGACAGTGTAACATTTTCTTGAAATATTGAGCACTGCTGCGGAAATGCTTGGAAATTAATTTACTAAATTTAATGTCTTCCATTTTTTCCCATTCTGGTTCGGACAGCAAAATTCTATAGGGGCTATAGGAGGCTAGTGGAAATAATGCCTGTGCTTCTTGATGGCTTCATAGTGGGTCACCTTCATGTTACCTTCTGTCAATTAATTGAAGGGATAAACATAGGCAGAAACATTTAATGCTCAGTAAGGCTGTAGCAACACATTTGGATTTTCATAGTATGGAGCAGAAGGATCTTGTGGTTGAACAGGATTACGTCTCTTGGCAACTTCAAAGTTGTGCCCTGTTCAGATTCCTGAATCTGAATTTTAAATCCAATTTTCAGGCAAAAACCTGACAAGCTGAGACTCATTTTTAAATATACCATCAGATACTTCATTTACTCACAGCAATCAAGAACCTGCTGTTTAGAAATTGTATACGAATTGTCAGCATGGAAGATCTGCACAAACTTAAAATTTAAATTGGTTTCACAAACTTTCACTTACTTTAAATTACACATGGGTTAATTTACAAATAATTTATCAGAACTGTTTTCTTCCTACCAACTACAGTTAAAAAAACAACAACAGAGGCTTGGTAAAGATGATAAAAATATAAATTGGTTCCCTCCTTTTTTTAGAAGTTGATAGGAAGAGACTGGATGGTTCTGAAACTGAGCCCACTCCTTTCCCACTTGTATTTCCATTCTTTCCACCACTGCTTCAGATCTAATTTTGGCTGAGGTTCCAATTTACTGGTATAAATAAATGAGTTCTAAAACTGCAGTTTCAGAGGAAGAAACTTTGACCTGCATTATCAAATGAAACTTCCTAAATAACTAAAATTTCATATTTCATTCCAAGGCTATTCTCCAAGCACAACTAGATTTGAATGTTCATTTTTGTGTGTTATTATATTATTTGTTAAAGATATTTGTCAGTACTTTGGGCCTAACCCCCAAATGATAAACCCCAAATGCCCTACTTGACCTAGGCTTTTGACTTTCAAAATCTTGCACTGCAATGCTGGAGGTGCCACAGCCTTTTTCCTGGTTGACTTGGGAGCAGTTGTCATATTTGGAGACACGCTATGCTGTCAAGGTGAGAACATGAATTCCAATGGTCAATGGAATTACATCAAAAATGGCCTTGTGTTGCACTGATGTTTCTCTACCACATGCTGCAAATTTCTATCCTATTATGATCTCAGATTTCACATATTCATTTCTAAATGCTACAAGATTGAGGGTCTTTCATTTGTCATTCATTCATAACATACTTTAAAAGCAACCCACTTTTAAAAACGATCAATCCTCATTATCTGTGGCTCTCAAACATGTTCAACCCTTCAGCCAATCATTTTTCAGTCTATTTAGTCAGTAGCTATTTCAGCCGTTTTATGGAATAGTGTTTCCAAGCAAACCCTTTGAGAGTAACATGCCACAAATTTGTATTTAAGAACTTTTCCCCAATAAGAAAGAGCATGATGGCATATTCTTAAAATGAACAAAATGAAATGCTAATTAGGAGCTGGAGCAGGGGAAAAAACTTGCCCATAAGGATGGGATGAATTTATTGGAACATAGATTTCTTTTGTCTCTGAAACAAAAGAGAAATAAATTGCAAACAAGTTTTCAGGGAGATGATAGATGATAGACAGTTAGACAGACAGACAGATAGATAGACAGACAGACAGACAGACAGACAGATAGATAGTCCCACACATACATATGCACACATACATACATACATACCACACATTTGCCGCCTTCAATAAGGTTCAAAAGTAGTCACAGTGTTGGGGAGGGTGCTGCCTAAGAGGTGGGGGAAGATAAGTGTTTGCAGCTACTTTTCAAGAAACTATTATATTCTTTGGCTCTGAATTGGTTGTTGTGTGTCCTGTGTCAAATTTCAGAAACAGTTTTCATAGATCTGCTGTAGGGGGTAGATACTAGAGCAAGGGAAGCTTGTTCTCTGCTCACTTAACAGGGCTATGGGCAGAGCAAAACCAGGTCAAATTCCAGGAAAGGCTAAACAGGATACAAGTCATGGTGCACATCAGGAGAACAACTATTTCACTCTGAACTGTGATGCTCATTAGGTTTGCAGTATAAGAAACAAAAGAAAAAGAAGTTGGAAATACAGTACAGTATTTGCTTCCACTATTATTCTAGAAACATATTTTGACCTGAGGATTTTTTATGTGAAAATGTAGGGGATACAGTATTTCTCTCCAACCTTCTGCTATATTTCTATCTCAATGTATTTCATATAAGTCTGTCTCTGCTGAAACCTAAAAAAAAAAATTAAGTTTAACACATTTAACATTTGTTTATTAATTATAATATCCCAGGTATGCCTTTGATTTAAAAGTGAATTACAAACTATACTAAAAATTACACAATTTAAATTTACCATGGCAATTATACAATAATATAAACTGACAGAAATAATGATAGGTGACCTGATCTGTTATAATTCAAAATCTATTTTTATGAAATTTTATAGACATTTTTTATTATTTATATTGCTCACAGTCTTTAAAGCTTTAAACTGCCCAGAAAAGAGTATCAGACAGCTTAAAGTTAACACATCCTTATCCACATGTATTAGACATTTTAAAAAATGTTTATTTGGAAATTAAAGGGTATTCAAGGGTCCTCCAAATTTTAAGCTCATGTCCCTGACCTGAAGGAAGGATGAAAAAAAGGAAAAACAGAAAATAGAAGGTTATCTTTTTGCCTAATTAAGTGACAATTGAATAATTCAAAATATAAAGTTTTTTTTTAAATAAATATGAAATAATTCAAAAGATTGTAATATTCAATTTATACAAGTAAACAGAAATAAAGAAATATCCTAACTATTTGAAGTGTCAGTAGGTAAGGAACAGTTGTAAGAAGGAGATACAACTAACCCATGTTGTATATTGAGTTCTGAACTCATTATTATTTCATATTCCTTGCATAATAATAATAAATAAGAATAATATAATAAAATGTCACCATGGACTGACTTTAATGCATGCTACTCCATTAAACCTCGGTTCATGAACTTTTTGCCAGTTTCACATTTCATTCAATGTTACCCAGGCATAGCATATCACTCCTACACCAATTATTTAAAGCTGCCAACAGCTGGACAATCTCTTCCATTATTGCATTCTTAATTATTTAATTAATGTTTCCCATTTTCAGTTAAATCTATAAAGCAGTGTGATGATTTTATGATCTGTGATGTTCTGAAGATCGTAGGAAAAAAATCCACTGTCCCTGATTCTGTATTTGCAAGGTTTAACATTATAGATTTTAAAAATCATAACCACAGAAGTCTTTCCTGTTTTTGTTTTGTTACAGGACCGTCTTGATTCTTTAACAGAGGTGGATGACTCAGGACAGCTAACTATCAAATGCTCTCAAAATTATTTGTCTCTAGACTGTGGAATTACTGCCTTTGAACTATCAGACTACAGCCCCAGTGAGGACTTGCTTGGTGCTCTTGGGGACATGACCTCCAGTCCAGCTAAAATAACATCCTTTGAGTCTTGGAGCTGTAGGGAAATGGACAAAGCCTTTCCAGAACTTACTAGAAGTGTGGGATTACTGGCTGTAGCAACAGATTCAGATGCTTCCAAATACAATGAAAGTGTTAATACCAAGGAAATCCACTTACCCTTGTCAATAGATCAGCAGGAGGAGGAAGGCCAAAGTTGCAAAGAATCATCAGCTATAGCTACTGAACTTTCACTCACTCCTATTTCTGAGCACTTACCTCTTTGTAAAGTAACTTCTGAGGATTCGGTTGCCTCATCTGGCAACAAGAAGGACTTAGAAACAATAAAACAGGAGCCAAAGGTCTCCAGTGTTGCAAAAGCTAATCATCACCCTCACAGTGAAAACCCAACACCCAAGAGATCGATACGAGATTGTTGTGACTACAATGAGGATTCACCAACACAGCCCACCTTGCCCAAAAAGGGCTTGTTTCTCAAAGAAGATATATTTAAAACAGATGTGATCGTTGATGATACAAAAAATCAGTTCTCTTTGATTAAGACAGAAATCAGCAAGAGCACACCCTCACTGTTAGATCCACCAGACAGATCCAAGCTTTGTCTAGCATTACAAACAGCGTACAATAACTGCCCTTCTGCTGTCAGTCAGTCATGTGATTGTTTACACAACCTAAGTGAACTCAAGTATGCCATACAAAATCATTTTAAAGAAAATTCTATGGCTTTAGGTAAGTCAAGTGACAATGCTAGAAGGCAGAAACTGAGGTGCAAGAAGTCACATGACATTCCTGAGGAGGTGGCATCATGCAGGTTTCCTGCAATGGTAGCATCAAATGCTACACCAACCAATCAGATGAACAAAAGAGGGGTTCTGGCTTTACAAAATGGAATTACTTCTGACAGCATGCGGTCCATAGAAGGAACAGGAAGTGATACAACATCAACCTCTTCTGAACCTTACAAGCAACAAGAAGTGAATGGTCAGTCTTGCAGTGAAAGAGAACCATCCGCTTCACCCACCCATAGCCAAGTGAGCAGCTCTTCAGCTGGATCAGATCCTGCTATATCTCCCTTCCCTCTTCTTCAAAGAAATAAGAGTGAAAAGGCCCACTCATCTTCACCAAATAATGTCAGCACAGAAGGTAAAGTGAGTGATGCCTGGTATGGGTCTGATGAATACTTAGCTCTTCCATCACACCTCAAACAGACAGAAGTATTAGCTCTGAAATTAGAAAATTTGACAAAATTGCTTCCACAGAAATCTCCAGGAGAAACTATTCAAAACATTGATGACTGGGAACTATCTGAAATGAATTCAGATTCAGAGCTTTACCCAACCTATCAGGTCAAAAAGAAGCACAAAAGATTAGGTAGAATTTCACCAAGCTCTTCAAGTGACATCATATCCTCAGTAGGAGACAGCATTGAATCAGGCCCTCTTAGTGATATCCTTTCAGATGAAGAACTTTGCACATCCTCATCTAGCATGAAAAAGTACCTAGAAGATAGGCCACGAAAGCCATCACTGTTTCAGGCTTCTGATAAAAATGAAATAACCCTCACAAATAAATCAGCTTTAATACAGCAGCTGATGGAAGATATACAACACCAGGATAATTATGAAATTGTATGGCAAAAAATGGAGGTAAGTAGGAAACTGATAATATGTATAGAACTTTATAATCTCATTTATTTGTAGGGCAGCATAAAGAAGCATTTTGCAAAATATATTGATGCAAGCGAAGTGCTCCTTGAAATGTTAAAGCAGCCACATCATGAAGAACATTTGGCACAACTGCTTTGCAGGCCTTCCCACATGTGTGCACAATTGTTTCACTTTGCTGATGGACCTAGAAGTGTTATCTATTCATGCACACACAAACACACAGTTGGGGAAAGACTTTAAAACAGGCGTGCCAAACCCTTTGACACACTCAGCTGCTTTGGGGAGGGTTTCTTCACTCACACCATCCTACTTTGCAAAGCATCTCTTTCCCACGTTTTGTGCTGCTCTAATATTCGTGGCTAGAGCAGGAAGGCAAGGTCAATAGGATGTTAGGGGTGAATGATCTTTTTTGGGTTAAGTCAAGTTCACATGTGTTCAGTCATGTCCATTCCATCACCATCATCAATGTTCAAGAGGGGGCTTTTTGGTGGGGGAGGAATCCATATGAAAAATCATACTTAATCTATATGTCTTTTTATAGGCATCTTATGATTGCTTTTAAATACACATTTATACTGATTGTGGTATATTTTTAAAGATGAAACTGCATTGCAGAATTTGAAGAAATATAGAATAGGGACAATAGCTTATTCTGTTATACACATTAGCTTGGGGAATGCAAATTAGGTCAGTTTATTTCCATATGGAACTAGACTACAACTCTGAACATCCGTAACAGTGTGGGCAAGAACCAAACACAAGACTAAACTGAAACATAGCAAAATATTGTTTCCATGAATGTGGGTGTGCTGGCAAGGATCTACACAGCTGCTGAGAAACACTTGGCTGCTCAATTGTTTTTTTATTTATAAAATAACATATATCCCTTTTTCCTTCTAATGCAGATACCCAGTGAAAATAGCAATGAATATATATGTATGTATGTATGTACAAGTAATCCCCCGTTTAAGAACAAGTTCCATTCCCAGGGTCTGTCCTTAAGTCAAATTTGTATGTAAGCCAGAATAGTATTATTGTTTAATACTATGTAAGTAGTATTGTGTAATGAACTTAAACCATTGTGTATTTAACTCGAATCATTGTGTATGTAAGTCAAATTTTGTAACAATAGAGTCCATTCTTAACTATGCATTGTCCATAAACTCGGTGTTCTTAACCCAGGGACTACCTGTATATATAATCATACTTCATGGTGGGTGCAAAACAGAAAGCAAATCACTATGCTGTGTAGGCTTCTTGACACTGCCAACTAGAATGCCATTAGTTGGCATTCACATGCATTACTATATCAATAATGACCTGATTTATTTATCTGTTAGGTGCATATCCAGCCTTTTCTTCAGAAACGCAAGACAGTAGTCAGAGCATTCTGTCCTCCAATTTTTCTCCATTGTAGCAACTCTGTGAGATAGAGTGGGTTGAGAAAGAGACTGGCCCAAAATCACCCAGTGAGTTTCCATGGCTGGTGTCCCCAGTGGCAGCCACCCCCTTAACCCCTACACCACACAGAGTCCTTTATACCTAAGGAAAATTTCTGGTGTGAGCATACTGTCAATCTTTCAAGGTAGATCAGATTAGGAAACCAAAGTTATGAATGCTAATACTTCTTTTATTATAAGGTTACAGTAACAGAATCTGAACATGCTTCCCCCAACCCTCCCTTTATCTTCGTGAGAACTAGGGAAGGTCATGTCTGAGACACTTTCTCAAATTACATTTCTGCCCCGGACTCAGATTTCTTTTGTCTGACTGTTGCCTTGGTTGCAGCTTTTCCTCCTATCCCTCAAGATTATTCCTTCTGCCCATGACACATACTTGCTTACCCCGACAATGATCCTTGCTGAAACCAAACACATGGACCGATTTTGAAAAAGAAAGCTCAGAAGATTAAGGAAGGCTCAGAAAGTTTTGTTTTTCTGGAACCTGAACCTAAGCTAGTATGAATGTTGTACTCCAAAGTTTGTTCTTCCTTAAATTGAATTGTGCAACTCAACATTAAAAAATGTTGAACATGACCTTCAAACATGTATGCATTAGGAAAGTGTGCACAAAGACTTGTATATGAGTGAACATATCATATAGAAAAGCATATATCACACTGCACGAGAATAATGCAATGTGGCCTCAACAAATTGTGACTTGAAAAGTAAATTTCACTGAGTTAAACTAAAATGTACAGATTTGACCATCTCTTCTGAAGACAGAGCAAGAGAGTGAAAGTTTGAATCCAAGCAGCAAATGTGTAGTACACTAGTGAGATCTATTAGGAAGTAGCAATTAATAGCACAAGGGGAACCTGATACCCAGGTTCTCAGACAGTAGACATTTCTTCTAACAATTAGCTGCTGTCAGACTGAAAGCTTTAATACTGGGGGCTTTTCTGACTAAATTCAGCTGGTGCTCATCAAACTTGAATTGGGTTTCCAGATAAACTGAGATATTCTCAAGTATGCCTTTCTTACTAATGTGTTCTCCCTTGCCTTTCTGCTTTGTTTGTTTGGCACTGTGGTTGTTCATATGAGCTGAATGGCTACGGTGGTCAATCAGATCTGACTTCTGGGCAAAAGATTCTGCTGCAGGTTGTATGCTAGATTCCCATTCCTCTGCTCCTGAGGCTTGGTGGGATTGCTAAATTGCCTTCCTTCTCTGTGGAATCTTCCTCAAATGAGACTATGACATATTAAGGAATAAGTTAAACGATTTAATGTTCTCCAAATAATTTGTTCTCTGTTATCAAAACTATATGTTTAGATTTTTCAAGCAAATCAATTTTTTCTAAGGCGGTACACCAAGTGGCTGAAGTTTGCAATGACAGATCATAGGTTGAAGGCCCAAAGGAAGTGCCCATATGGGTTTATCCAGTGAAAAGGTGAGGGTTGTCCTATTCTTTTAGGCATTGCTGAAGTTGCAGGTAGTACTTAGATGGGATGATGGGCCTCCCTCCTTAATTCTGTTGTTGCTAGTGGAGCCTTTCACAGTTTATTCCTAACACAGATATAGATATTACATATAGCTCAAGAATACCTGTGTAGAGAAAATATTAACGCATACTAATTTAACACTATAGATACCCTCACACTAGGAGAACATACTGTAGGCTTAGTGCATCATTAGTTTTATCAATAAAATACTTAATTGTGTTAGGAAATATAATCGATGTGGATACAGTCTCTATCGCCCTATCTCTTTCTCTCTGATTCCTAGCTATGCTGTTCAAAAGTTAGCCATACCAAATTCTAGCTGTTATGTCTTTCTTTGTAGCCCTCCTGGGAGATGAAGGCTTCTGGTTTTCAGTTATATTTATATATCACATTTCTTTGCTTTTCAAGAACAAAGTCCTTTTCATCTCAGTGTAGGTTCACCATAACCCTGTGAGACAGGTTAAAATGAGAAGATGTGCCTAAGATCATGCAGTGAATTTTATAAGTGACCAACTGTTGGAGCTCCTGAAGGGAATTTTGCCCTTCTGAATCCAGTTTTCCATGATTGTACCATACTAGCTATCTTTCACTGCAGTTGTTATGATCTTCTCCTGCACTGTTGCTATCTATCAAACTTTCCTTTCAACTCTGCTACTTTTATCTGAGTGAGTTTTCCTGTCAGTTCTCTTTGGAGTCACCGCTGGACATACGTGCTATTGATTCCATATGTAGTTTTTCCATTCCACTTGAAATTAAACTTAACCAATCCCCAAATTTTCACTCAAATCATAACGCATGTATGGGTGAGAGTCAGAGGATACTTTGCCCTACCAGAAGGTTTGGTTGAGCCCAAGGAGCCGTCTAATCTGTCATGAGAATTGACAGTAGTGTCAGTTCATTCCATGTTTCCATGGTAAAACTCTTGGAAATAGTCTGTCTACTAAAGAAAGACTTAAGATAGTGTTGCCAAATAAAGTGAAGAAGTGCATCCTAAGACATGCAGCTAGGCCAGAGTTTTCCAGTGTGTGTGTGTGTGTGTGTGTGTAAATAAATTAGGATCATTAGCTGAAGTACTGTAATGAAGTGGTACTTTCATTCCTTTTGGATATGTATTATCACTGGGTAAGTGTTAGTTTTGGGCTTGAAAATGGTCTTTGGCTTACCTTTTTTATTAGTTTTGAAACCTTTAGGTTTCAATACAAGCTCCATTTTTTTCCAGACTCTCCGTGAATTACTCTGGTTTTCCTAATTGGTTTATCTCCTAGGATAACAGGGTACTATTTGTTCTTAGGAATAAATACCCCAATATTTGATTAAGATTAAATCAAGCTATTCTCACTCAACCCTTCCAACTGGAAATGTATTGACTTCATATATACCAATTGTCATTCAGTTGTGCTCTATTACAACCCCACTCAGTGATGCAGTGGATCATTTCTTGCATTCTTCCCCCTATGATATTCCAAATCCCCCCACCTGTCCTATTCCATCTCCATACTGGATAATGATCTGGGGATGAGTTGACAGTTTGAATTAACATTTGAAATGGAAACAAATTTGAAGCAGGTGAGATAGATAGAGAGATAGATTATATGAGCCACCAAAGCTTGAATGTGTCAGCCTAGAATGTAAGGTTATGGGACATCTCTGCTTGTTCCTACAAAAATAATGCCACAGCCAAAACAGCAGCTGGAGATATGTTGGGAGATCAATCATTGTGCAGTTATTCTGATTCTGAACAATCATTAATATTACAATCTTCTCAATCACCTACTATTGAAACAATATTGAATAGAGACAACACATACTGCATTTGGTAAACATGATCCCAAGTTTTAATTAAATGATGAAAGATCATATGTGCAGTTGTGTGATCCAGCCCAAATTCTAAATGTTCATGTTATAGATTAGTTTTTCTGCCCAAGTACTGACTTATATATTCCAAGACTTTTGGAAGCTCTTTACATGGACAAATATTATCCAGTGTCATCAGGGCATACTATGTATTGAGTGAAGTCTCTTCTATTCCTTGCTATAAACATATATAGATATTAACTATGGCAGCTGATGCTTACCCCAGTGTATGATGGCATTTGACTGAATTTCCAGATAATGTCAAGGCACTGGGGTAGAAGAATACGGGGATGGCCCTGAAGAAAATATGTGACATGAATTTAGCCCAGGAAAGCAGGAAAGTGTGAGAAAGAAAATCAAGATTGCTTTGCTCTGACTCCCTTTAGCATAAGAGGGAGGGACAGAGAAATGCTGTCAGACTTTCAAGATCCTGTTATTACAGCTAAATCTATGAAGTAGAGTTCTGGTATTCTTGTGGTGTCTGTTTCCTGACTTGATCTACCTTGAAAGGTTAACAGTTGGATGATGAGGCTGCTGCTTGGATGCTGGGGAAAATTATACACCCTGCATAAGAAGCAAGAAAAGGCCATTTTCACTTACTATTGGTTAGATTTCTTATACTGTACTTCTCTGAAGAGAAATGATAGCATGCCCTGCTTATATAATAGGCCCTCAAACCACGGTGTAAAAATCCAGAATAAGCACTATTCTAGCCAATCCTTTCCTATTCTGTTGTAA